CATCCATCCATCCATCCATCCATCCATCCATCCATCCATCCATCCATTGTCCATCCATCCATCCATTCATCCATCGTCCATCCATCCATCCATCCATTCATCCATCGTCCATCCATTGTCTTTACTCGCTTCTTCCTTTTCAGATCATGTGGGTCACTGGTGTCCATATCCAGTTATTACTGTGCGAAAGGTGGGGGACACCTGGACAGGTCTCCAGTCCATCACAGGGACACAGAGACAAATGAGACAAACAACTATTCACTCTCTCGCTCACACCTAGAGACAATTTAGAGTTACCAATCAGCCTAACGTGCGTGTTTTTGGTCTGTGGGAGGAAACTCACGCATGCACAAAGAGAACATGCAAGCTCCACCCAGAAAGGCCCCATGCTGGGATTTGATCCAGTGACCTTTTTGCTGAGAGGCAACGGTTCTACCAACTGATCCACCGTAACGCCCCGAAATGTGTTTAAGATATTTGGGTCTTATGTTGTGTGTTCGTTCTTTTAGCACTCCGGAGCAAGAACAGCTGATGGTCATGTGGCTGAGCTGGATGATCAAAGAGGAAGAATACTTTGAGAGGTAAGAAGTTTCTGTTTTTGTGATGATGAAGCGTCGTTACCTTTGAATATTAGGAACTCCTGAAATAGAAATGTAGACTCTTGTTGATCATGAAGAAGTGGGTGCTTTATATATAATGATTGAATAGTGCTGCATTAGACAGACTGTGGATGCTTCTTAAGGTAAACAAGTTTATTTTTAGCTGCAAATTCAGTTTCTCTTATTGAACCACTCTGTACTTTACTCATTTAAATGTTTTCTCTTTTATGTGGTTTATATGATTTGGGTTTTGGTCTTGATAAGTGATTGTTAGAAGATTCCCATAAGGCACAGCCCTTCCTCTGTTGTTGTACAGCAGCACACCAGATTGTTGTTTTCTGTCCCTGAACTTTAACTCATCTGTTTACTGAAATTGTACAACAGCTGAAAGATAAAAGAACATGAACACTTGATGTAAAAAATAAACAAGAAGTACCAAATTAACGTATCTCATGTGTGAGCAGACATTCTTACATGTACGTGTTCTCTGTTTATGCTTAACATTTGCAAGAGGTTTTTCTCCCAGACGCTTTTTTTTTTCAAGCTGCTTGTTTTTGTCTGTTCAAATAAGTTACATAACCTACAGAAATAGCTGGTTTTATGAACGTATTCGTGTTTGTTGTGAGCCTGCTAAATAAAACACGGCTCTTCAGAAGTGCGCTGTGGGTTGGTTTATTCAGGACGTGCAATAATCACTTGGTTGAGATCCTGTCCTGTAAAATCTTGGACTATCAGCAGCCCTTCATGCCTCTCCTGCACGTGTGTGTGTGTTCCTTCTTACAGCGCTGCGGGCGTATCTGCTTCTTTTGGAGAGATGCTATTACTGGTTGCCATGTACTTCCATAGCAACCAGCTCAGCTCCATTATTGAGTTGGTGTGCTCTACTTTGGGGATGAAGGTAATGCGGATGGTGGGAGGGAAACACTGATCAATAAATCTGTCTGGCTGACCAGGTACTGGCTCGCTTCACTACAGCACATACAGGCGACATCACTAATGAAACACTTGCAGCACGCACACATCGAGGCAGTACTGTACCCCGTGGCCAATTTGCCATTTTATTACTTATTAAGTGCACTATTGTTTGCTCGCTGTGTCCTAAATAGTTTTCATGTCTCAGTGTATTTCCACTAAGATGTGTAATGTAATTGGATTTAGATCCTGTTTGTTTCCACCCCGAGGGCAAGCCTTTCAATTCAGCGCTGTGCCTGTCATGTAGAATTTTCTTATGAAATATGAAAGAAGGGAATTATAAAATACTGCCCCAGCTGCCTGCAGGTTGTTTTCACTCACAAAGGGCCGACCGCTCTCAATGTTTCTCACAGTTTGTTTATTTTCTTCCTGTCTTTTCCTGCCGGGTGGCATTTAACTCTACAGATTGCCATCAAGCCCAGCTCTCTGAACAAGATGAAGACTATCTTCACTCAGGAGATTTTCACTGAACAAGTATGTGCACAGAAGTATCATTCATCCTTGTGCACGTTTCCTGCTCACAATACCTTCATATTATTCCTATAAAAGTTGTGTCTAAAGGTTTTCAGCTAGCTTCGGATTATTTACTTTTAGATACAACTCTGCAGTATCTGATTAGTTTTGATATGTTATCATGTTTATATTAAACACCAGGGCTAAAATTACACCATTTTATTCAGGTTTTGTTTCTTTTTGTTGTTGCAAAGTGATGAACCTTCTTGGTTCACAATAAAATATTATAGCTCATTGATTTAATGCTGTTTTAAGACGTAATGCACAACACATGAATTTCAGAAAGCTGTTCAAATTAAGTAATGACAGATTAATTAAATTAGATGTTTGTTTTGATAATCAATCAAGTAGAAATCAGTGTGTTTTAATGCTCACTATTTTAATGTAAACAGTCTAATAGATATAATCACCTCATGTAACAAAATGTATGAAGTTTAGTGCAGAAAGTCTGTTTTCATGATTGTTACAAAGTGCTGACATCAAAAGTCAAAAGATCATTGAAGTGGCATCGGTCTTCTCTTGCAGATGTTTACTTGCTGTTGTTGCAGCATTTACAGATGTTTGTGGTGTTTGTTTGACAGGTGGTTACAGCCCATGCTGTGAGGGTTGCAGTGACTAACAGTTTAAGCGCCAACATCACAGGGTTTCTCCCAATTCACTGTATCTACCAGCTGCTTCGGAGCCGGGCCTTCACCAAACACAAAGTGTCCATCAAGGTGAGACCAGTCCTTTAACGATTTCATTATTTTTCCACCTGGTCAGACATTAATATATATATTTAACAGTCACTGCAGCGGTCACTTATTACCTGCAGGTTGTAGACGCCAACGCTCTGTGGTAGCTCCTGCTTCACATTCACATCTCAGTAAATGTTATCATAGACGATCTGATTTCTAAACAAAGTTATTCTTATTTTTATTTATACGCCCATCAAAGCTGTATATGTATTCTGCTGTAGTCTCCGTCCATACCTTTGTAAACTTCCTCTTGTTCTTATCCACTCAGAATAATTGAACAAAACTTCACATGCATCATCACTTGATGGAGTGTAGCGTGCACTTTTCATCACCTCAGCTCCAAGGTCAGGGTCACAAATCAAGATCAAAGCTAAAGCAAGGTCTTTGCTTGTGCAGGCCTTCCGATCTGCTCAAGATAATTTAATGAATCTTGGAGCACATGTCAAGGTCACAGATCAATGTCAAATGTTATACAAGTGGAGGCCGTTGCTGTAGATCGCCGTTTGTCGACAGGCGTTTAACGTGCAACATGCGGTGCTTTTGTCAAACATTCAGCTCTGCCATGGCACAGTTTTCAGTCAAGTTTTAAAATAGGAATTATGAACTGAAATGCCTTTTTATAATTAGTTATTATGATTTAAAAAAAAACGTGAAAGAAATGATCTTATATTCTAATATTTAGTGGAAAGACTTGTTTTCTGTCAAGTCAGAACTCGTTTCCTGGCTCACACGGACACTTGCTGTCACATTTTGCAAGTTAAAACTATTAAATTCCCAAAGACGGAAACATTAAAACGGTAAAATTAATCAAGTATTAAAACTTTAAACTTTCATTTTTGCTCTTTTTTGCTCTAGGCTCCATTTCAGTGGATTTTTAGATATGTCATTTGACCCCACCCCCCACCATATAAAAACATTACATGTAGAAAAGTTCCACTATGGATCCAATAAAACATTTGTTCATGTTTACACGTTTGTCCTTACGTTACCTTCTGGGGTTGTTGGTATTTTGCAGGACTGGATTTATCGTCAACTCTGTGAAACAACAACTCCCATCCACACCCAGCTAATTCCTCTAATCGATGTCTACATCAACTCCATCCTCACTCCAGCATCCAAGGCCAACCCTGAGGCCACCAATCAGCCAATCACAGAGCAGGAGATCCTTAATGTCTTCCAGAGCTCCGTGAGTCATTGTGAAGTTTACGGAATGGCATCAGTCTCCATCCACACCCTAAAATGTTAATGATTACAGTTTAATCCTGGGCTGAGCTATAGGATAAATGGACTGTACTTATATAGAACCTTTCTATCTTATTTCAAGATACTCAAAGTTCTTTACAACAATCTGTGCTAGAGATCTATACTAGATCTCTACAAAGCTAATTGAACAACTCATTCTAATGAGACTAATCAGAGCTTTATCACATTCACACACTGATGGACACACATCAGAGGTTATGAGAGTTCAGTGTCTTGCCCAGTGACACTTCAGCATTTGACTGCTGGTGGATTCGAACCCCCAACTCTCACATTGGAGAACGACCGCTCTAACCACTCAGCCACCGCCGCTGATATCTATAGTTTGAAGTTTTATTGGAAAACACAACATATTTTACTCTCTGATTTAAAATCACGTGTAAAAGTTAAATTTAACCTCCTAATGAATAAAATACGTCATTGTGACGATTCTAATCCACTTTGTGTTTTTTTAACTTGCAAACAAAAGAGTAAATTCAAATCAAATTTGTTGTCGCAGACGTTTTATTTTGAACATCGCTGTTCTCAATTGTTGCGTCTGTCTTTTGTCGACCAGGTTTTTAAAGACTTTATTTGATGCACACAATGCGGATGAAACAAGAAAACTTAAAACTGATTGTTTTCCCACGGGTTTTTTTTTCTACTTGGGTCAGTTCCATAACAACAAACCCATTAAAAGTTGTAAAAATAAACGGAGTATTGTGTGAAAACTTCATGTAGAAGTTCGAGTAAACCCCATTAACTGGAACATCACTGATAACAAGTAGCAGTAAATTATACAAGCTTGGCTTTAGAGTGTGAAGTAGGTTTTGTAAATTGGGAGTGAGTAAATGAACGCCCATCTTCACATTCACTGATGGCAGAGCCCTTTTCTGCAGGCTGCCCCTCACCTATAACTGGGATGTTTGTTTCTCTTGGTTAGCAAGGGGACGGCAGTCGAGGAGGGCGCCAGCGCTATTCCATCACCACACAGCTGCTCATCCTTTACTACATCCTGTCTTATGAGGAGAACCTGCTGGCGAGCACCAAACAGCTGGGTAAGACGGTACCTGTCCCAGTGAACAGCCGTGCAGTTTCTCTGTAGGCTCACTTCTTTTCCATTTCCTTTTCTTTGCCTGTCTAAAGCGTTCACTGTCATTTCTTTCACTAAACATGTTTGGTTAGTTTGAGGGGGATCCGTCTGGCAGCAGAAGAGGAAGGAAGCTTTTGTCCTCTGTAAAGTTGTGCGAGACATTCTCACAGGATGAGCAGTCGTTCATTCTTTCCTGGCTTGGCTCTGAATGTTGGCTGCTTCATAAAGAATAAATTGGAGCTGACAAAAAGCCAAACCCGACGGCTGCGGGAGCACAACTAACTAGGACACGCGTAGGTTAGATAGAGTGTGTTCTGTTACGGGATGAGCTCTGCTCCTGCCCTTCAGAGCCACATTTATGTGACAGTTTTTGTCCATCCTTGTAATTGCTGTGGTTACCCATGCGCTCCCATTTCCTTCAAGGAGGAAGTAATGAAGCTCATCAGCGGTGCTAATGATCCCATGTCAAAGAAAAATGGCTTTAGCTTTCCTTCAACACGTTAACACAGAAGCTGTTGGACATCCACGTTAAACCCTTGTCCTTCTGTTTTATAAACCGTCGCACTTTGAATTCACTTTTTTATGGTCTGTCTCACGCGTGTGTGTGTGTGTTTTAAGCACTGATGCAGAGGAAGCCCAAGTCCTACTCGGCAGCCTTGATGGACCAGATTCCCATTAAGTATCTGGTTACCCAGGCCCAGGGTCTGCAGCAGGAGCTGGGGGGTAAGGTTATTCACCTTAACCTCGAAAAACAAAACCATTCAGGCGTAACATGATTGATGAATGATTTCAGGCCTGCACTCTGCTCTGCTGAGACTGCTCGCCACCAACTACCCCCACCTGTGTCTAGTGGAGGACTGGGTATGTGAGGAAGAGGTGACCGGCACCCTGCCCCTCCTGAGAAGGATGATGCTCCCCACCAACACCTGTAGATACACCCAGAGTCAACTTCATCAGGGTGAGAGGGGCTGGCGTTCCACTTTGGTCATACACTTTTCAAATTTAAATTCTTTAGCATTTTTAGTAAAACTTCATGGATGTAACGCGCAGGAAGAACCTACAGAAATGTGTTCATGGTGGATACAAATGCAGCAAGATGCTCTGCAGTTCAAAGGTGAATTCAATGTTTCTGCTCCTCCAGCCTTCCAGAAGTTGCCCTCCAGCAGTCCCAGGCTCATGCGGATCCTGGAGCATTTAACGTTGCTTTCACCTGGAGACCTTATTCCTTACGCAGAGGCTCTCACAGCCAGCATGGCTCTGCTGCTGGAGCCCGCTGTGCCTCGCCGACTGATGCAGACCCTCAACAAACTCTGGATGGTCCTCAACACTGTGATGCCCCGCAGGTACTGGCCGTGCTCTGGACAGGACTAAGAGTGTTTTAAAGTGCAATGGCCATCAAGTTTTGATGTTAAAATGTGTAGGGTGGGTAATAGCTGACATTCTTTATAGCTTTGGCATCAGATATCAACATAAATGTCATCCCCCTTTTGGTAAGGCTCAGAACATATCCAAATTGGTATCTAATTAGAATTTGTTATATTTTGCTAAATATCTTCCCTTTGTTGCTGCTAAACTCAAATATTTTCAGCACAAAGCCAAACTTAGTGTTTGTATCTTTCAGGAGTGTGAAAAGTTTCATGCAAACTCAAAGGAAGACGCTTTAGAGCAGGAGTTGCTCAGTGTTTGCTGTACGAGTGGAACAGCAATGAGCAGAGACCTCCGTCGGTGTGCACGAGCGTGCTCGTTACACGAGGGTCACCCTCGCTCTGCCCCCCAGGGCCTGAAAGACAGTTACCTAAGCTGCGAGCAGACTTGTTATTGATCCAAAAGAGGCCCGGAACAAGAAAAGCTCCGGGCAGGAAAACTCTCCATGAAGCAGATGTAAAGGATTGTTGCCTCCCCACCTCCCCCTCGCCGCCTCCTCCCCCCTCGCTTCTTTTGCTATTGAGTGTTGCAGAGAAATCGAGGAGCGAAGTCCTGGTGAATGTTGAGGAGGTCAGCGGTGTCAGATTACACACAGATCTATTGATTGATGCTAGCTGCCCAAAGGCTGGGAGCTCCAAGTGGATCTGCTGTTCAGAGATCAGCATCAGTTTGATCAGGACTGGGTGAAATGGAACCATTAAGCCTGTACAGCGCTGTGCTTTGTGTAGTATGTTGGCTGTGGGTCATCATTTAACTCTAAACTGATTGATTGTGACCTCTGACATCTTGAAACAAAGCCCAATCTTTTTTTAGCGTTTCGAACGTTAGTGCAAAATGTGGAGCACCAGGTCGGACAGCAGCGAATCTTTGTGTCTTTCCATTCGATTCCCATTGTTGGTGTCACGATTCGATTCAAATGTTCCAATTCAGAAATGATTTTCAATTAAAGTGGTTATAGTTTTTGTTTAAATTATGTAATTGACAAGCTGAAGAGATTAAACAACAACGTAAACAGAAGATTTATTTAAAACAATAATTTTAGGTTCTTTACTGTAACAAATATTTTTGCATCATTTTCTATTTATACCCAAAATAAATAAAAAAAAATACAAGAGTGCATAAAATTCTGTAACTTAAATTACCAGTAATAGCTTAGCTTAGTTGCCTGGATTTTTCTAAAATCAAATAAAAATCTAGGAACAAATAATTAATCCATCATCTTAACCCACTTCTTGCTTTATGGGTCACTGGGTCACTGGTGCCCATGTCCAGCCATCAGTGTGTGAGAGACACCTGGACAGGTCTCCAGTCTCACAGAGACAAATAATTCAAAATATATAAATACTAAAGTAAACTGACTTCAGTCTACCATAGTACATTAAACTTTAAATCAACATAAAATACAGACCTCACAGTTATTTTAACCACATTGCTCTAACATTTGTTATATTTTCAAAACTTAACCTAATATGAAACATACAGACTTCAGTCTTAACCATATTGATTCATATTTAGTAAATCTTTAACGTAACCTTTCAAAACTCTTCTGAACTGTAGTTTATAATCCATGAACTGTATCATTTAGAACTGGCTCCAGGCGACGAGTCTCATCTGGCCTCTTCCACCTGTTAAAAAGACAAATTATATAAAGTTTGTTTTATAACTTGTCTATAAGTTTTAGTATAATATGATAAAAACCGTTCCCTTTGAGCTGCAGCTGCGTCAGAGCTCCTCCCACTTTATTCTGTGTTTCATGGTGGAGTTGCGGAGCTGCTTTATCACTAAAAAAAGCTACGTGAAGAAATAACTTGCGTTGGGTCCAGCGTATTAAAAATAAACCTAAAGCCCTCACCTTCCACTGAGCTGTCTGCTCATAAATCCTTGTGAGATAAAAAGCGATGGAGTGGGAACTCTCGGCAGCCTTTGGGGAATTTGCTGGAAGTTTGTTGTTCCTGTTCGCCGCTCGGCTGCTTCGCTTTTCATCTTCCTTCTGCGCATTTTGTCGTATTTCCAAAATACTGTACCGCCATTTCATTTGACACTTCTTGCAAACAACCGTGCTCTTGTGAAGCTCCGCGTTCCCCGGAATATTGTAGAATCCAAACTGACTTAACGACGAAGGAGCGGGTTGAATCGCGCTGTCCTCCTGCTCCGTGCTAACAGACTCCATTCACATATAAAGGGAGCTAACTAGCTTGCTGTACGGTGGCCTACACGGACAAACTTTATGGTGGCCGAGTGGACGCGTAATGTGATGTGAGGTACACTTGGGTGTAGGAGCAGAAAAAAAAATAACTTTAACGCATTTTAAAATTTATTTATGGGTCTTCAGAATCAATTCAGAATCACCAGGACTAAGAATCTCGACTCATGAACGAATCTATTTATTTTCAGCACCTCTATCTGACAGGTGCCTGTTGTTCATTACTTGAACTTGTGTTTGTGTTTTAGGTTGTGGGTGATGACGGTGAACGCCCTCCAGCCTTCAGCCAAGCTGCTCGGCCAGCAGAAGTACACCCAGAACGACCTGATGGTGGATCCTCTGATTGTGCTGCGCTGCGATCACAGAGTGTACAGGTGCTGCTGCGGGACGTCGCCACACGCTCCAAACACCGAGAGGCACCGCACCACCACACAGAAGTGTCCAAAGACATTTAGAAGTGAAGCTCGAACATGTGTCAACTCTTCTTTAAAGCTTAGCAGGGATCTGAGAGTTATTTGGTCCAAGCTGATTCGTTTAATTTAAATTTAAACAAGTAAAAGTATAAGGTTTGTGGAAGTAAGAATTCTGCTACAACAGTTTTTACGTTTATACAGCAGTAGTATAATAAAATATAAAAAAATATTTAAACTTAATTGTATCTGCATGAGCGATTACACGACCGAAGTGGCGTTTTTAAACTTTCTGCGACCTGAACGTTAATGTTTTGACTGTGAAGCATGTCTGAGCCGTTGATTTAGAGAAGGCTGGTTTAAACATTCATTTAGACCAAATCCCACCGTAGTGCACGTGGAAATTAGTTTAATTTTTTGCCCCTTTGTTCATCCTGTGTAACGTCCTGCCACCAGAAGTCAGAGCACACTATTCCTAACGGAGCTGCACAGGTTCTTGTGTTTGTGCACATTTTTTTCTATCAGCAAATCAAACAGCAGCAGCTTCAGTTCATGTGTGTTAAAGAAGTGTTTAAAAAAAAAAAAAGAAACATGTAGAAATGTGTCTCTGAACCTTATCTGGATCGTCTTCATGTCAGGTGTCCTCCACTGATGGACATAGTCCTTCACATGCTGAATGGTTATCTGACGGCCTCCAAGGCCTACCTGCAGTGCCACCTGAAGGAGACGGCCGACTTTGACCGTCAAAATCAGACCGTTTCAAACGTGGGAGCACCCGGTCAAGCAGACACGCCTGAGGTCACCAGGGAGGAGCTGAAGAACGCCCTTCTAGCTGCGCAGGTGTTTTATCCAGATTAAGACCACATCTACTGGTCTTGCTTATTATAAAACCCAGTACTTCCTCACTGCCAGTTTCTGTGAGAACCAGTGTAACGACTCCTTGTCTGTGTTGACGTGCAGGACAGCGCAGCAGTCCAGATTCTCCTGGAGATATGTCTGCCAACCTCTGAAGAACAGCAGCTGGGGGCCAACACAGAAAGCCTTTTAAGGAGCAATCTGGGGCCCGCGCCAGACAAAACAAAACCAGGAAGCCAGGGCCCAACAGCCAGAGTAGACGTGGGGGACGCGGAGCCAGAAGGAGGCCTGTTCAGTGACTTGAGGGAGGTGCAGTGTCTCATCTGCTGTCTGCTGCATCAGATGTTCATTGCTGACCCCAACATTGCTAAGCTGGTTCACTTTCAGGTAAGTCCGACTGATGGACGGCGTCATTCCTGCAGAACTTTAGCGTTAAAACTAACGGTCAGTGCTTCAGTGCAGAACTTGCCTTTGTTTTTAAATAAGAGGAGCAGTCCTGGTGACCGCGTCACATTCAGCTACAGGGTGAGTAATAAATGGCTGCAGCCCTCCCTCAAGTATCAGGCAGCCATATGGTGGACTTCATCAAAGTGATCCTTCCTGCCACACTAATCCACCTTTATCCGTGCTGTTAAGTAGCAGCCACTGTGCGTGTGCACCCGAGTGAAAGAGAGTATTTGTGAGAGCAGATTTGCTGTGCTCTCTCATATCTTTGTAGATGAATGACAAGTGTAATATTTCCTTGTTCCTCGTCCATCAGGGGTATCCTCGGGCTCTGCTGCCTCTAACTGTGGCAGGCATCCCCTCCATCCATATATGTTTGGACTTCATCCCAGAGCTGCTGGCCCAGCCCCAACTGGAAAAGCAGGTGAGGCCTCCCAACTTATTTCTGGCTAAACGTGCCCTAAGATTCTGTCAGAGCCTCTCTCAGTGTTGTGCAGGGAAACACACCTCTGCTGCGTATTCTGTCAATGTTTGCACAAATAAAAGAGCTGTGTTGTTGTGCATGTGTGTACCCACAGACCTTTGCAATACAGCTGCTGTCACACCTGTGTACTCAGTACGCCTTGCCCAAATCTCTGTGTGTGGCCAGGCTGGCCATTAGTGTCATGGGCACACTTTTAACAGGTCAGCACACACCTCATCTTATAACTGAACACTTTGGTTGTTGCTGCTTAGATTTTGAACATTTCTCGTTTCCTGCCTGAACTCCTCAGTCGTTAGATGTTTGTAGAAAACTGTTCATTTAGAGCAGCTGCAGTCACAGTGAGCTGTAATATCCTCGGTGGATGCTGCCACCATCTGGTTTTTAGCTGTTAGTGCAGCTTCCTCTTGTTTACACAAATGTGTTGTATTTATCAGCCTTGCAGACATCTGTGTGTGTGTGTGGTCTGTAGTGCTGAGTCGTGCCAAGCGTTTCACCTTCTTCATGCCAACCCTGCCGTGTCTGGTGGCGTTCTGCCAGGCCTTCCCTCCTCTCTACGACGATGTGGCAGCTCTGCTGGTGCAAGTGGGCCAGGTTTGTGCTTCTGATGTGGCCACCAAAGTCAGGGACATGGACCCTTTTATTGCCCGTAAGTATAGTTGGCCTCTGGATGGCACAGTAGTTAACAGTTTTATAGAGTTACAACATTAACAACATTACTATTACAGTATATTTCTTATATTTAATCTGCTAACATGCTAACTATTGTAGCTTGTCACAAACGTTTGTTTCAAAACGGCGTTCTGTCGTCTTTTGGGGAAAAAATCAGCCACACATTTTTGTTTGTGCTTTTATTCATTTATTTTGGTGCAGTCAATAAACATGTATTTTTTTTTCTGACATTGCCTAAAAATACTTCTACCGGTACTTTTTAAAATGTTGTCAGAATGTTTTCAAATGCTCTCATAACCTCAGTAACTTTACAACACTCATGTTGCTGAGGGGGAAGAACATCTGCCCATTTAGAACATGTAAAAACAAATTTTAATCATATTTATCATAAAAATAATTAATTATTCTCACTGTTTTTCTTTTTACCTTTACTGCAAACCTTTAGATTTTTATATTAGCGCACTAGATGGCGCTCCTGTTACATTTAGAGCCTCTGAAATAAATCTGGAGGTGCAGTTCACCTCCCCCCCAGCAGGGGGACATCTTCCCCAGCCAGAGCGGAGCCCGCCTCATCTCGTCCAACAATCAGCTTAGTTTGGATGTAAAGAACAAAACCGCACTTGTAATGTGCACAAGTAAACATTTAGTGGTAAATAAATGTTGGACCTGGATGCAGAGTGAAACGCTCCACGGCTGACGTCCGTCAGTTTGGCCAACGGTCACCATTATCGGGTGTAGCGTGCACCTGCAGCGCGCTCATATTTCTGAAAAACAATTTTAGACTAAACGATTGAATCATGGGCAGAGTTTAGAAATAAAGCAAATATTATAAAAATTAAAAAAAAGATTATGAAAAGACATTTGTGTTCAAAAAACTGAGAGATATAAGTTTGAAAGAGTCTGGAGGGTCTTCACAAAACTCTGGATTTAAATTTTCAACACTTTGTCAAAACTATTTATATTTTGTGCATCCTAACGGAGTCCCTTTTGTTTTCTCCTCCAAAAACTGCTCTAAAATAAATAAATTTAATAGAACTGAAATGTGGAGTTTTTTGTTTTTTTTTACACAAAAGATCCTTAAAGAGGTAAAATTCTAAAAATGTCATTTGATATTTTCATTTCAGGCTGAGCTTGTTCTAAAAGACTGACTCGTTTTAAAAAGTATTTTGAAGCAGTTAAATAATGTGGTTGATTTTTCCCCAAATAAATAAAGTTCAAGGACAAGAGTTCAAATGAGAGACTGGTTGATTAATTAAGTTAATCCACCCCATGATTAACTACTGGTCTGTCTGCCTGATAAAATGTACAACCAACTGTCTGGTTTGTTTATTCAATTTGTTTTTCAGGACACATTAAAGTTTTGGGAATTTTTCCACGTCAGCGTGTGCACATCTGCTCAGTGGGTCGAACCACAGAGGGAGGAAACAAAAAACATGACCTGTCCTCGTTTTTAGGGGTTTACACCTCAGGATGGACATTTAGTGGTTTTGACATAACACACACACGTGTGTTTTGTTTTAAATGTTTAGAGTGAAAACTCACTACTCATTAGTGAAGAAAACCAGTTTGTGTGTAACCCTCAGAAAATACCTAATATCGTATCCAGTGAGGTGTGTTCAAAGTAAAATGTGGTCAGAATCAAAGGGATTGTGGTTGAAATGGTTTCCCCTTGTTGGCGTCCACATGAGCACAGCTTTATTTCCCCCCTCAGGTTTTCAGAGTCTCAAAGAGAAGCCCCAGGCAGCTGTAGTTCCCGGAGGACGCTCCTCCGAGCCGACGCCGATGGCAGCGGAGGATCTGGGTGGAGCCGACCCCGACGTCCAGCTCTGCTACTGCATCGAAGCCACCTTCATGGACATCATCAGCTCCACTCTTCATGGACTCTAATCCAGGTTTACACACCTTCAGGCTGGACAAGAGACTCTTCACTGGAACCAGCAGCTGCAAACAACTGCCTGTAAAGTAAAAAAACTCCTTTACATGTCGTGGGACATACATGATGAAACCGTCACGCTCTGTTCTGTCTGGACTCAAGTCCTTCATGAATCTGCCTCAGGCTTTGTGTCACACGCTCCAGCTGTTCTAATCTTTGTTAAGCAGTAAAAACTGAACATATTGTTTTAAAATATGTTCAGTTTTTGTATGTTTGTTTGTAATAAAACTAAATATTTGACTGATTTTCTGTTTTGATGTTCTGGTTTTGCTCCTGGTCTGATGGGTTTCCTTTGGCATTTCATTTTAGTTTAGTTTAAAAACCCACAAACATTAAACAAAGATCAACAAAATGATATAATCTTACGTAACCGTAACTCTTAAAATTGTAATGTTTTCAGAAGCGCTACTGTTAATGGAAGAGATCCTGGGATCATGTGAAGGGACGATATTTAAATATTTTTAAGATTTAAGCTTTTTCCACGACCTCCGCTGACACATCTGTCATGAGTCTTAGACCTTCGAGTGGTCCTTCAACCATCCAGAACCTGCGGACTTCTCATTAAAACTCTACACGTTTTTACACAAACACCAACAAACTCTATAATCTAGAAACATTCAATAGATTTCCCACATTTTTTAACTTCTGTCATCATCGTGGAGAAACAGGAAATGATTTTCTCACATCAACAAAATGAATGAAATTATTTTGATTTCAGTTGGTAGAGCTGTTCCCTCTCAGCGAAAAGGTTGTCGGTTCAAATCCTGGCTGAATGGAGTTTGCATGTTCTCTCTGTGCATGTGTGGGTTTCCTCCCACAGACCAAAAACATGCATGTTAGGCTGATTGATAACTCTAAATTGTCTCTAGGTGAGTGAGAGAGTGAATGGTTGTTTGTCTCCAGGTGTCCCTGTGATGGACGGGAGACCTGTCCATGTGTCCCCCCAACTCTCACAGTGACGGCTGGACATGAGCACCAGTGACCCCCGAGACCTGAAAAGGAAGAAGCGGTTAAAGATGATGGATAAATTTCCTGTGCCTGGTTTTAAATCACTTTTCTGTTACTGATTTCTAAAAGCAGGATTTAGGATGTGAACGTGAGACGAAGCTTTCTGTTTCCAGTAAACCTGCAGTCTGAGAGCAAAGTGCTCTGTTAGGATACAACATTTTTCAGTCAGCTCATCTGGACAGTTTTTTTTTGTGCTGAAACGTTTCGCCTTCCATCCAGAAGGCTTCATCAGTCAAGGAAACGCAACAAAACTAATTCTTCCCCCAACAGCTTACTCCAAAGTGGAACAAACCAGTTCTGCTTGTGATAAGATGGTCTCTTTGGTACTCCCCCTCCTCCATTGCCGGGCCCTCTTCCTTGTTGACGGTCTTGTCAAACTGGTTGAAAACAACAAAGTCCATGCTCAATAATCCAGGTATACAATCCAACATTTTTCAGTCGGGTCATCTGGACAGTTTATTTTTTTCATTACATTGTTTCTTGTGTAATGTTTCCAACTCTCAGATAGTACTGAACAGATTTTTATACTTAAAACATAAAATGTCTCTGCTGTCCTGATAATATCTTTTGTAACGGTGTAATCCTCCTCACAGATGTTTACGCTCATGCAGATGTGAAGTTATGAGATAATCTGATCTGATGGTGCAGTCATTCAGCAGAGGGCAGTCTTGCTGCACCAAAAACAACAAACACCCTCTCAGACCAGAACTATTAATAATAAAATTATTAAAAATAATAATAAAAATTAAACAATCAGCTGGAATCAAGGCTGTTTCAGGATGTAAGGTTTAGGAAATAATTAAAAATAATTTGTATTATTACAAAATAATTTACATTAAAACAGCAGTGTGTCATAAAAATGACTGACAGTTGTAATTTACATTTAAATGCTGCTTTTCCACTTATGATGACATTTTTAGCTGCTGTTCTACTCTGTGACATGAATGCTCCATGAACAACCAGGATGATTCTGTGCATAAATAATTTAAATAAAAGTTGACGGAGACAACAATAAGAGTTAAATGTCTGGTTTTAATGTGAAGAAACTGGATGCAGAGCTCAGTTTCTCGTCTCCGGCGCTCTGCAACAACTTGTCGACGCTGCGAGAGCTGCCTGAAGCAAGTGAGGGTGAAAATCACACAACAGTTCTGTTTTCACTCATGTTGCCTGTGTGCCTCCAACGAGCAGCTTCCAAAAATACGACTTGGTGCAAAGAGACACAGGAGCTGTGCAGGATGTGGGAAGATGCCTCCGCTGTGTTCAGCCGGACTGCAAGAAGTCGTTCTCTAAACTGAGACCAGCTGGACATTTATTTAGAGTTCAAATTGACACCGTGAGCGTTTAGAAGTGGAGATCAGTGGAAAAGCTATGAACACATATTTTGTTTGTTCCACTGCTTGACTTGGACTGATGAGCTAATGGCTAGTTTGAGCACAAAGAGGATCCAAAGTATCAACAGTCTGAGTGAATGTTATGCTGTAAACCATTAAAGTGCCATCAGTTTGATATTTATACAAAATGATGCAGTTAATAGAGCAAAAAGCAGCAGCTACTAGCTGTAGCACTTCCTCTGCAGTCTGTTTTTTCACAATGTTTATGCCAAAATCATTGTAAAAACTGGCAATAACACAAAGGTTTATTATTAATGTTTGCATGGAAAAATAAGAAGTTTTGTTTTTAGACAATATCTACTGAGAGCATACACAATCCCTCCAGTAAGTTTGTGGTCTCTTACCAGTAGGACAAACCTGGAAAACCTCTAAATGGAGGCGTCTCAGAAGCATCCGAATGATGCCCGAACCACCTCAACTGACTTCATTTGATGAAAAGGAGCGTTGGCTCTACTCCGAGCTCCACCAGATCATGGAGCGCCTCACCCTGTTTCTCGGGCTGAGTCATGATCCTCATGACCAAAGGTGAAGTTTGTAACGTAGACAGATCAGTAAACAGAGGTTTGCATTCGACTCAACTATTTCTTCACCACGATTGACTGAAGCAACGCCCTCATTACTGAGGACGAAGCCCCAGTCAGTCCACTCCATCCTACCATCACTCATGAGCAAGACTCCCAGATATAAAAACTCCTCTGCCTGAGACAAAGACGTCACCCCCCCGTCCTCCAACTTGGGGGGGTATTCCACGTGTTTGCGGTTGAGAACATTCATCGAATGTGAACTTGATGGTGGTGTGAAGGTTCATCAACAGTCTTCACATAAACCACTATGAAACTTTTTGAAATAGGAGTGAACGCCAGCGATCCACTTTAGTCTCAGCTGTGAGCTCGTATTCACACTGACGTTGTTCAACGAGTGCAACAGGTACGATTTGATTTGCTCCCAGTCTTTGCACAGAACAGTAAAATGGCCTAAATGTTGCTTTACAGAGACACTGTGTTGAAATGAGGCGGCAGTTCTTACATGTCCACTAACAGGCTGACAGAGAGTTTTGTGATTCTGACATCAAACAAACTTTAATTGGTGACTTAAAAGAAGAAAATTGTCCAATTTAGATTCAGACAAAGTCATCTCCCTATTTTGCTGTAATAAGGATTTATTACAAAATGTTCTACTTTGAGCTGAATCTCTTGGGTCTTTTCTTTCCCAGAAAATGTTTTGACTTGATTAGAACAAGCTTCCCCAGCTGAGCTCTGACTACTTCAGAACATTTTCCCAGATCACTGAAGGAAGCAATTAAATATGTATTTAATGCACTTAACCAGCTGCCACAGCTCTCCAACTTAATTCACATTACAGGTCTCTGTTCACCTCTTTACATGTTGGTGGAAGTCAAACCCTTAAAATGTAAAAAAAAAAAAAAACTTCCTCAGCTCTTTACAAGAGCTACTGAGACGTGCTCTTTAAAATATTGCTGCTTCATGCCCATATGCACGTGCAACCAGTGCTAAACCATTAATGTTTGTCAGAGGACTGACTTTTACCAGTGTAATACAAATGTAAATAGCAGCTGCCTTCCTGTACCTGGGATCTGGTGTGAGTTCAGACAGCAGCTGGATTCAGTGCAGGGTCTGACAGACACCCCTGGCGGACGATTCAAGACTCTGTGCCTGCTTCGCTGTGGGATAGAAGGATGACAGGAAGTGGGTCCTTGTATCACTGATGTCTTCAGCTGATCCAAAATGCTGCTGCCAGAGTTTTAATGAGGGTTAGTAGAAGAGATCATATCTCTCCAGTTTTAGCTTCTCTCCACTGGCTCCCTGTCAAATCCAGAACTGAATTCAAAATCTTACTTCTAACCTACAAAGCCCTCAACAACCTAGCTCCATCTTATATTAGAGATCTTATTGTTCCATATTTTCCTAACAGAGCACTTCACTCTCAGGCTGCAGGCTTACTTGGGGTTCCTAGAGTTTCTAAAAGCAGAACGGGAGGAAGATCTTTCAGTTCTCAGGCTCCTCTCTTGTGGAACCAACGTCCAGTTTCTGTCCATGAGGCTGACACATTGTCCAGTTTTAAGACTTTCCTCTTTGCTAAATCCTATAGTTAGGGTCGGCTTGGGTTTCCTGAGCTGTCCCTTAGTTATGCTGCTATAGGCTTAAGACTGCTGGAGGACAAACTGACCACATTCTTCACTCTGCTCAACCTGTTTTGTATTTGTAATTATTTTCTATCTTGACATGTGTTTTTGTCGTTCAGGTACACCTGAACCTGCATCTGGACTTACATCTGGACCTACATCTGGACCTGTCATTCTGTGTTCGTCTGTCTCTCCTTCCTGTCCTCTCAACCAGCCGGTCAAAGCAGATGGCCGGTTGTCCTGAGCTGGTTCTGCTGGAGTTTCTTCCTGTTAAAGGGAGTTTTTCCTTTCCACTGTCTCCTTTGTGCTTGCTCAGGATGGGAGACTGTGACGAAGTGAAGATTTAACATGTCTGCTGCTTCCTTAGATAGAGAACTTTACCAATTGGCTTTTTTATATATGTGAATCCAAAAAAGTTCAATCTGGTCCTCTGGACATTCAAAAAAAAAAAAAAAAAAAAAAAACAAAGCAAAAAAAAAAAATCTAGAAACGTTTCGTCTCTCATCCAAGAGACTTCCTCAGTCTGAGGTGCTGTTTTCAGCTCAGTCTCTTAAATAGCACCTTCTTAGAGTGGATCAACCAGTTTGCTGCTGACAACCAAAACCAGCTGATCACATGCTCAAGAAGGACCATCAGC